GGGGGGGGGGGGAGGGTCCCGCTATGCGTCTACCAGAAAAAAAGAAGGAGCCCAGGGTTTGGGGTAGGGATGGGTGTTCAAGTCGGTACTATGAAGTGGGGGGGGGGGGGTACTCATAGTCGTGCATGCCGTAGTCGTTAGACCATTGACCTCCCGAAGTAAGGGGGGGGCGGGGGCAAGGGAGAACGCGTCTATCGGACGAAGCACAATAGCGCGCAGCTGTTCCTCCGCTTCGCACAGCTACTCGTGAAACAGCATGCGCCTGCCGTGTGGCCTCAACAACCCAACAACCTACACGCAATAGGGTTCGAAACAACCACCGGATAGTGGATGGAAAAGATCTGGGCACGAACTTGCGGGCCCACATGGTCCAACCGCACACGCACAGGGAGCCTAACACCACCACAACGCAAAAAAAAACAAAAAAAAAAACACGCGAAGTGGACGTGACGTGACTCATCGCGCTGCTCATGTATCGATGCACCGCCCCCACAGCGGCAACGTGTCCCGCTTAACTCTCACGTGACCAAAGTTCCGATTGCCGTTCCAATTTCTTTGTCTGCAGAAAGGTGGCAAAACACACACCGACTTCTCCTTGTCGTTGCTGTACAGTGGTATATATCATATCATCATTTTTCCGCCGTTATCCGTACCTTTGCGATCGTGTGTACACATGGAAAGATTTTGGACCATCTGTCCTGCAAGACCTCGGTCTCGAGGAGGAGGCACAAACCAAGAGTCGGATAAACTTTAAAGGGTTCAGCCAGCCATAGCCGCGTTCGAGGCACAAACCAAAAGTCACATCAACTTGAGCAAGGGTTAAGCCACCTATACTCCCGTTCGTCGCTCCATCCACACACCTCGAGGATGTCGAGCAGCCGTGTCATCTGGCAGAAGAGGAGGACTCTGCTCCCCTGCATCCGCAGCTTCGGCAGCAGCTTCTGCAGGAGCACCATCTGTGATAATGATTCGGGAACAGAGCGAACGCGCAGGTATAACGATGGCACGTCCTAAGACAACACACAGCACTATTTTCGGATCTTTGCAAATTGTTACCGCTTAATGCATGCATCAGCTTCGCTTTCATTCATGCTAACCTTCTCTTATGGCAAGAGACGGTTGCTTTGAATGTGTTGAAAAGGAAAAATAGTTGCGCCGCAAGTGCACACAGAAGCACAGAAGAGCACCCGGTACCGGCGAACAAACCTCCAAACAGCAAAGAAGAAAACGAACCACAAGAAGCAGGGCCTTCTACCATCACGGCTTCAGCCATGGTCTACCGCCGACAACATGCAACAAAAAACAGTATTCTCACATTCACAAAACGCTTACAACTCCGCTTGTCCCCCCCCCCCCCCCCCCGCACACAGGCCTAGGATACAAAGGGTAGGTTGGAGCCACCTCTGGCAAAGTAGGAAGGCATCGGTGATCGGTCCCGTGGGAACAATGCTAATGCTCCGTCCTCTCGAGGACGCGTGGTCGACGGTCTAACACCTAAGGCATGCAAAACACGAGTAACCCTCCCCCCCCCCAAGCTAATCATACCTTTCCGGCGTTCTCCCAGAGGTGTGAGCCGTTCACAAAGGGGGGTCCTGGCTCGGCTCCGTCGAAGAGGTAAGGGTGGTTGCACACCTGCACACAGGGAGCATAGACGATGGTATACAACAGCAGTCAGTCTTGAAGCAAACGCATGAGAATCGTCGACACAATCGAAACAAACGAGCCGCTTTACGTTACCTGATTACGTTTATGGTTGTTGTCTTCACAACACAAACAACTCCGGTCTCTGTTCAGCACCTTCCACCATCCGTACCGGTTCTATATGCCGCGGACGCGTTCCGTGGTCACAAGCCAACCACCCAAGAGGGCTACATCTTTCTAGAACGACAAAAAATAGACAGATGCACAATGCAACGATACGGCCGAGTTATATCATTAAATATGATGGTACTACTATGCATATGCATAATGCAATGAACACGGAGGGTGCTTGTACACTTGGTACTTGGCGCCCGACGTAAATGGATGGCACAGCAGCAATGAGCCAAGTGCTCCAAGAACACAACCACAATCTGTAAACCGCTAGCTGCACGATCAACTTCTATACTCTTCCGAGTACACAGCCACTATTATAGTGCTCTTCTTCTAAGCGGGCGAGAAAAACTGCCACAACAAAACAAAACAATACACAGAAGTTTTTTGGTGCTTAGCACCAGGTGGCATCACTACTGTCAGAAACTCAGTGTATAGGCTTAAACAGACCCTAAACAAGCCCAAATTCCAGCCGCTTTTCTCACACTAACTGAAAACACTTGAACACATCCATCCCCTTCGACTACTGCTGAGGTATTTTCTCGAACGGGTATGTGGTCTCTCTTTGATCGAGTGCATATTCTCAAAATAAAAAAAAATGCGACACAGAACAGCACCTTTCTGAGCTGCATGAGGATGTTGAGCAGGCGCATCTTGTCCGGCCCCCCGAGGGTGTTGAGGTTGCCAACGTCCCTGTTCAGCAGGTCCTTGTACCACTTGCGCTGCATGGGCGTCATGCCGATGTACAGCTTCACCTGTTAATAACGAGTCACGAGAAGGGTCACGCACGGACAAGATGCAAGATATCCGCTTTCAGGCATCATGGGTGACCAATGAATGGTGTCGGGCTCTCGTGGCTCTCTTTCGGGCGAGGCGGTGCCGATATTTTTCTTGAATCCAGGCGACAAATTGGCACTCGATTGCAGAAGCCTTCGCAATTTTTCTACCAAGTAAACATGCTGTGGGTAAAGCATGCAATCGGGGAAGATGGGTTAGGGTTGAGTTTAGGGAATAGGGTCTGCGTGCCCCCTCCCTGTTCTATTTTCTCATAAAACTTAATTTCTCGCGAAGGCGGTCCCTCGATCGTTGAATATCGAGGACCAGTAGCCAGTAGTCGACGCGCCAACAGCGCCCCCCTCAAGGAACAAAGGTAGACGCTCCCGGTAGCACGAACTCTACCGCGCATTCCCAAACTAGCGTAACGGTCATACCTTAAACCCCCGCCCGAGGGCAAAAAACAGTCACTGCACACACCAAGACTAGTATTGTGATGTCGGGACATTGGCAATCGGTTGTGGAATCGACGCATCAACAGCGCTGGCCGAGGATCACAGGGAATACGGCGCACCCCCGTTAGTGTACACGCGTGTGCATGACGCGACGGTCCAACATTAAACACACCTTCATTTTCGGCAAAGGGTGATAAGACACACGAGAGATATCATCTCATCGTAGGCATCTTAGGGCGGCACAGCAGTAAAAGATCGATCGATGTGGGTTATGGTATGGTATGGTATGGTATGGTAGTAACTCGCCTCCTTCTTGGGAGGAAGGTCCTTCTCCACGTCGGCCTTGATGCGGCGGAGCATGAAGGGTCGGAGGATGGTGTGTAGCTTCTTGATCACGTTGTCGCGGGCGCTCTTGTCCGTCTCCAAGCTGTGTTCGGATTTTTTTAACAGAGGTTAGGGGTTAGCCGTACAACGCAATCGTTTCCACGCGAAACACCGTCAAATGCAACACGAGAGAGAGAGAGGCGCACGCATAGAATAGCGGTGTGTGTGAAGTGACGGGATATCTCCGTTGGTCGGGAAGTAACCTGCAGCACGCATACTCTTCTCACGCGGTAACCTCGCTACTTCAACACGCACCCTAATAACCTGGCTAAATACCACGTATACAGCAATTTCTCTTGTACATCTTGCTACCCAAACGACACCCGTAGCACACACTTCCATGGCCGCCGCCCGCCGAAGCAACCGTCCAACAGGCGACACCAAGCTTTCGCGAAAGTGCCTCAACAGCCTGACCACCTCTACTTGGTTCTTGCCGTCGTGTGCGAGCATCGCGACACCTCGATGAGACCCCGTACTGGTACAACAGTAGTTGTTCATCAACGCGCTTTGAGACAGACTACCCCACAATGGACCTCAAATACACATGAGAGTGGGCCTCGGGGGAACCCTTTCACCCTCCGGCTGGACACAGCAGGCGGACGATCTTGCTTCGCAAACATCTTCAGACCCCGAGAACATCGTTCGTAGGGCCTCGGATCTTTACCGGTTGTACGTACGTGCGTCACTACCACTAGGAAGACCGGATGGACGGACGACTCACTTGAACCAGTGGTCGAAGGTATCGGCGCTGCTGAAGACGTCTGGCAACAGGAAGTTCAGCAGGG